TCAAGACTCCTGGCATCAAACTGATCAACATTGGGATGCCAACACACTTCACGGCCACCAGCTCTACAAAACAATCCAACCCACCCAATGGTCGCGCAAAGCCGGAATTGCCGGCCTTCCAACTTTTGACATTTTTCCTTGGCAACTTGCTTACCACAGCACCTCAGAGTTTACAGCCCGTACCCTCAGCCACGGGAAATACACAGGATTCATCGCCACCAGGAGTGTGGCGGAATCTGTTTTCGTCACACACCTCCTCCAGGAGATCAGGGAGAAACGCCTAGACCTGGACGGCGTTGCCGAAACCCTCCACACCAAACAAGGCACCGAAGTCCCCAGCAAAACCACCCAAGCACGGGCTTTCCACGCCCCGTTGATCAACCTCCTCATCCAACAACTCCAATCCCACTCACCAGCCCCTGCAGAAGGCACCGCCCTACGAGCCCTCAAGAACACCACCGACGAACTTGCCCGCGCAAAACAGAAGCTTCACATCTTAGGCAATCCTCTCACTCCTGTCAAGAGCGCTAGCCACGCCACCGGCTCTGGCGAACCATCCCATCCACCAACTCCACCTACCTCCAAGCCACCAGCGCTGGCAGATGTCCTGCAACCTCCACACCCAACACTGAAGGACGACGCCCCCGACAGCTGGACCAATGCTGATATCCAGCAGTGGGTCACCACTTTCGAACCCACTGTCCAGGAGGCCGCCAATGAAGTCCTCCGTTTGCTACAAACAAGTAAAATCACTACCCAGCAATTGAAAGACGCAGCTACCCGCTACGGCCTCCCACTCGGCCGCATCAATCGTCTCCCTATTCGCAGTTTGCAACACTTGGTAAGTGTGGGAGCAGCAATTGGTTTCTGACTCGCTATGCTCAGCCAAAAGCAACCCAGCCACAACACTATGCAACAACTCTTCCACCTCCACTGCGCTCTATCCATTTTGATTCACCACACACAATACATCGAACGTGCAGAAGCCATTTTTGCAACAGGCCTCATTCACATCACTCTGCTCTTTGCCTACCCATCCACAACACATCGATCCCAACAATGGAGAAACCGTTTCCGGCAGCTCCACATCCTTCCCAATACCTACCACTACCACAACTTTCTTTCCCAGAATTCCGTCTACATCAAACTCCACTTCAACCCCATTCCCCCCCAGCGTTGTTACCACCAGCATGGCCATTTCTACGTCGGCTCAACAGCCATTGGCATCCCTCATAGGGAGCACAACCGCCGCGCCAAGCTCAAACAACTCCAGAACAACATTCCTATTTCAGCCGAACTATCTTTACGCTACTGGCACTCCCACAACAACATTCACCACTACACAACCATCCAGCTCACGTCCCACGACACCTACGATCAAGCCTGGATCCAGGAACACCACCACATTGCCGAATGGATGCCCACACTCAACTGGCCGTTCATCTCCCAACACCTCAAGCTCAAGGCCCAGGGATGGCAATTCACCAAACATCGCGCACATTTCTACTCCAGACTAGCCACCCACAAACGCCTCTTCCGACGACTGAGGCAACGCCAACACACCCTCCGCGAACCCCATCTTTACACTTCCACCAAACATCACGCGCTCACACTTCTTCGTGACAGTACCAAACACACCGCAGCCTCCTTCGAAGCAGCCAAACAATTGCGAAGTGGCCGACACACGGACTTAGAAGTCTATGCCATCCGGCGTATGGCCGCCAACCTTGAAGAACCAGGCCGCAGCAGAGCCCTCCACATCATCAACAAAGCCCTTCTCTATCGCAATCTCACACCACCCAAACCCAACATTCCGCTCACAGTGCCCTTCCTGGCGCACGAAGACTTTACCAAACACTGTCAACAATGGCTTCGCACCACCATCCAACAGCACAAACATTTAGCCATCCCCCTCCACCTTCCCTCCCATCGCATCCGTGAAGCAGCACACAAGACTCTGCGATCTCAGCTCCACAATGACACTCTTCACTCACCACCCGATCCAGCAGATCTCCCTTGTGCGTGCGACCACCTTCGCACTCTCCTCCACGACCCTGACACCCCTACCACCAATGGTCACTACATCCTCACCTTGGACCAAATGCAACTTCCACCACATCTCACCATTTTCCTCAATGCCAACATGAACAGCACTTATTACCCCAGCAAGGCCCGCTACTTCCTCACTTTCCAGCAAGCTTACACGAAGTGGCTCAAATTTCAAGGGCTACCACCATCCCTCGTCCAGCACTTGGAACCTTTCCTCACACACCAATGGCGCCTCCACAACGCTCATCTCCAACACCAACCCCGTTTTACCGCTCGCCTGCTCCGACAACTCCAGGAACTTCTCGGCCCACATACAGTACTTCACCATGCTGACCATGAACTACAACAACTCCGACTGTTCTGCCCTCGTCAATATTTCACCGGAGCTCTGAACACATGGCAATCCCCAGAACATTTTGAACCACTTCCATATCTCACAGCCGCCAACATCCACGACCACCTCAAAGCCACGGTCCCACCCATCCTCCGCACACGCTACAAGTGGGGATTCCGCAAGGATTTCAACATTCCCTACGGAGTGGTTCACCTCAAGGAGAAAAAGCACTGGCAAAAGGGCCGCACCATTATTTCCTACTTCCGTTCACTCACAGGCAACCTCCTGCGTATCACCAGCCGAGCCCTCGACATTATACTTCAACACCTTTACCCACAACATCCAGGGCAGCTCTCCATTCCACAACTATGGCACCACTTCCACAGCTACCTCACTCAAACACCAGCAGACATCTCCCTTCACGCTACCAACGACGACCTGGTGGGCTTCTTCAACTCGGTCCCCCAACATCGACTGATCGATGCAGTCCACTCCATGATACAGCACTGGCAACAACAACAATCCACACACACTCTCACTGTGGATGTTCAAGCCACCGGCAATCCCTTCCACCACTCCCACATCGGCAGACACCACCAAAATCACCCTACACAACGCACCATCCAGACCTCCGACATCACCACTATCGTCGATTATGCACTCAACACCTGCATTTTCCGGGCTTGCAATAACACTTACAAACAAATACGAGGAGCTGGGATTGGCTCCCAACTCTCTCCAGCCCTCTGCAATGTCGCCATCGCCCTCATTGAACACTCCTGGCACCAGATCCACAACAACCCATTGCAACACACAGACCTGCACTTTGCTTACTACCGTTACGTTGACAACCGCTTCATTGTCCACAATGAACACTTCCTCCACCACCCAGCCATTCAAACCCTTGTCCACCACAATTTCTTCGGGGACCCAGTGGAACTGGAACCTGTCGATGACTTTCACCTCCTGGGGTTCAACATTGACCTCCAGCAACGCACCATCACCTACATACAACCTTCCCAACCTGGAAAATCAGGGACGCCACCACAGCCGGGAGCCGGCGCTTGGCTCTGTCAGGCCTTCAATCCAGACTCCACACTATCCACAAATACACCTTTCCACCCTCCAGCGCTGAAGTTGCTGCCGCCGAGCTAGTGAGGCTCTATGTCCAAAAAGGACACAACCACCAAGCCTGCCACCGGTTTTTGAAAAAAGCGCCGACGACGGCGACCTGTGTGTGTCGCCCCCTGTTCAAAGGGTTTCCTTTCTTGACTTCCACTGCCAATTGTTTCACCAGCAGGGGGGGCAGGCCTGTCACATCCAACCTGGCCCAACGAAGCTGGGATGTGACAGGGGAAGCACCAAAGGACGCTTTGGTGTGTACCTGCCACGCAACTTTTGCACAAGCTGTCCACCCTACTCTTCCACGTTTTGATTCATGGTTCTTCATGTTTTCCACCCCAAAAAACAGGTTTCAGCCGCTTGCAAACTGCAGCCAGCCGCGCGAGTGACACATTTTTTCAACAATTCAAGTCACCGGACTTTTCGCCTTGCAGTTCTTCACCATCCTTCCCATCGTGGTAACTGAGTTAACTGAATACAATTGTCAGAGTGTGTGTGTGATGTGATTTGATGTGTGTTTCGTGTGTTGTGGTCTTGGCGATTGAACACACTTGGCACACCACCTATCACGAGTTTCTACAACAACCCAGCCTTCACCTCTTCAATACACGCTACGTTGACAACCGCTACATCCTTATCAACAAACAATTCCGACAAACATTACCTATCACCGCACTAGTCCACCCCGATTTTTACGAACACCCAGTTGAAATAGAACCAGTGGATGACGACCATCTACTCGGCTTCCACATAGATCCGCTCAACAGAACAGTCACTTTCCAGCTTCCCACACACCCATGGCAGATTCGTGACCCACAGTCCGCCGGAAGCCATAGATTACGGCTTTCTGGCCTACAATCACGCCATCACACGCTACGTCAATACACTTATCCCCAGCATTTGATACAAAACACCTCCCAACAGTTGATGCAGCTTTGTATGACAAAAGGTCATTCCTACGAACACTGCGCCGCGGCGCTGCGGCCACGTCAAAAAGAGCGAGATTGTCTGCACTTTGCAAGTTATTTATTTATTTATATTTTTGGGCTGGCTTTACTGCGCCGGATTCGGCTCTGTGTGTGTGTCCACCCCTGTTTCCAAGGGCCTTACTCTAGCTATTCCTACTATTCTCCTCAACCACTTGTACAGACCACTTGCAGGGGCGTGTGACACTCTTATCCTATCACACGCAATGAAGCTGTGGATAAGAGTGGGAAAGATACCTTGGCCAGTTCGTGTACCTTCACCAATTGTTTAACATATTCTAAAGAGCTACTGCTTTTTGTTGAAACATTCAATTGAGCGGACTTTGCACTTCATTTCGTTTCGTCAAGTCAAGGGCTAAGTATTCATCTAAAGGGATTAATGCACTCCGCGAAGCAGCCTGAAACCGCGCTCTACTTGAGCAACCATCTCAAGTGTGTGTGTGTGTGATGTGATTTGATGTGGTTTGGTTTCGTGTGTTGTGGTGGGCGTGTGGGGGCTTGGACACGAGGCCAGGACAGGCTCTACCGGCTGCCCATTCAGAGAGCTCGCATCAGTTCCTTGGAACATAAATTATGACAAGGGTGGCAGTGAAATACCTACAGAATCATCGCACCTGTACACAGCGATTTTGTGGAGTGTGCTGGTTGTGACTCGCTTGTTACCCAACATCCTAGGAAGCACGGACATCAACACCATCGCTCGGATCCTCAAGATTTGGTACCAATGTTGTGCTTTGAAACGTGCTTCCGCGAACCATATTGTAGTAGTTCATATGCTTGCATATGTACATGACAATGTGGCCCTTCAGAAGTGTACGAACTGTCGGAGCACAATGAAGCTAGTTGGGCCTATACACTTCGTTGCAGGCTCTCAAGCACATGGATCTCCTGCTGGTGATGAGCAGCTTGAGCCTCAGGATTCATCAACGGATTGTGCTATGGTTTTCATGGCTCGTGATCGTATAGTGCTTTTGTGTGATGTTTGTGTATATACGGATGGGGCTTGGTTTGGAAGAAAGATTGAAGGTGTTGGGATATGAGGCCAGGACAGGCGGAAGGGCCACTGGCTGCCCATTCAGAGAGCTCGCATCAGTTCCGTGGCAATTGAAGATGAAGTTGGTGGGTGATGTCGTGTAAGCGCACTTATTACCAGTAGGGATGATTTGTTGTTGTTTCGCATACTTGGAGGATCTCGGAGGTGTATTCGAAAAACATGCGTGGGCCACGCCATTTTAACAGTGCCTGGCTTGTTCTTCTTTTTGGTACATCGATTTCCATCGTAGTCGAACAGGGGACCAGGGAGGGAGTGTACGAATTGTTTCTTTGTTGGGTGACTTTGGCACCTGTCGAATCTGATTGCTTTGACCACCCTGACAGTATATCGTACATTATGTACATTATAGCTCCTAGCCTGAGCCACCTTAAGTGTTTCCTTCCTCATCTGAGGACAGAGGGGCTTGGTCTTTGGAATGGTCACAGGATATTGAAGGTGACCACTTGGACCCGCCACTTGGCACAGCAAGTGGGGTACACTTACTTGCGCTGCATATGGCTCCTTGGCCAAGCATATTGGCTCCTTCTACTCAAGCATATGCAGCAGATGAGTGATTTCGATTACGCTTCTAAGAAGTACACCTTTGATTGAGGCACATTGAGGCTCAAAGATGTCTTGAAGTTTGCCATGACTGGCTTCACATACCACACAACTTTTGACTGCTGTTTGAACAATGCAAAGATACTGATTTTGACACGATGCCACTGTGTTTGATGTAACAGTGATGTAATTTCACCCGTGTTAATCATTATCCTAGAGAATCTGAACGTGTTGTTTTTGTTGACCTTGACTGACTTTGCTTGCAACAGTTTGCATTTCAGTTGAAACAGTTCTTTCATGTGTTTCCCTCTTTGCAGCACTGATCCAGTATATATAAGTCAATTCACTAACCATTTGACACATGGAGTTCTGTGAAGTTTCATCAATTTTGCTGTGCAATGCTTCACAGTGCTTATAAGGCCTATCCCGCCTCACCTTGCTTTTTCTAGACTGCCCCTTATTAGATGTCCTTTCACCAACCTCCTCCAGGACATTCAGTTCAATAATCGAAAGCAATTTTACATGTTTGATATTTTTGGCGCTTCTATCATGCGGCTATCATGTGCTCATCTTACATTTTCGTGTTGACCGGGGACCCTTTTTGGTTTTGCCACCTTTTTAGGACAGGAGGAGGCAGCTGGTGGGCAGAAGTGCTATCTTCCTGATTGCAACTGTTTGCCTTCGACATGAGCTTTCTTTGCACAAGGCAAAAACGCGTTTGAGCCGGCCGTTGCAGGTCCTCATGATGTTGAGCAGCTTGTGCCTCAGGATTCCCAACACAATCAGAGCACTTGTTGGCCGTTGCAAGTCCAGGCGTGTTGAACTCAGGCCAGGGATTGCCCCAAACCTACCAGCTGCCCATTCAGAGGGCCCACATCAGTTCCTCGGAGATCACGTTAGCGATGCACTTGTTACTAGTAGCGATTCGCTTAGCTACTAGTAGCTTCTTGCTACTACTAACGATGCACCTTGTTACTAGTAGCTTCTTGCTGTTGACAGTATGGTTAAGATTCATCAATAGCCAGAAGTTGCATTGATTTACCGATCCATTCGCCATACGCGGTGCACGTTGTTTCTGAGAGAGAGATCCCAGGCAGTATGGCCATCAACACCGTGGGGATCCTAACGATGTCATGGCGTCGACGACCTGTGTGTGTTTACTTTTAGCGGATTATTTGTAGAGTTTAAACTGTTCTATATATCATGATGTCTATGTGTGGGTGCTGGTGCTGTGCGAGTGTGCCTGTGGAGGCACGCATGTGCGTATGGACATATGCATGTGTATAGATATATATATTTATATATATACACCTACTCTGACTCACAATAAATAGAAGCGGATGGTATGGGCCTTGTAAGATGATTCTCCACCAGGGGTTGTCCACTTCTTTTATGTTTGTTGGAGGGAGTGTAGCATCTATTGCTATTTCCAATGCTCATGTGTTGTTTCGTGGCCTCAGTTCGCCTTGCCTGAGGCTCTCAGGCGCACCCATGTCACGGCGTTGAACAGCTTGCGCCTCAGGATTTTGAATGAACAGGACATGCCAGGACAATATGCACAATCCCTTCCTCCACCGGTTTCCTTCGCCAGAATCCTTACTAGAGTTTATTGATATATTTGCTTGTGTTTTGCAACCGTGGTGTCTCATATTTTTTTAATTGCTTTCCATAGCACGGTGGTTCAAATTGCTCCGTCAGGCCAGGGCCTGTGGCAGCCTACCCAGCGAACTCCCAGTTCCTGGGAGAAGATGGTCATGTCGCCTCGCGGATGAAGACCCACCCCACCCGGAGCCTTATGCCCAACAAACATGGAACCCGCCTTTTTAGCGGTGACGGGATTTGGTTTTGATGCGTTTGATGGTTTTCTTTTAGCCGGGGGTGGTCTACACTGATAGTTTCAATGTTTTTGCAGAGAATGCGACCAATCGAATTGGGGTATCTGGCCATTGCTTGCATGGCGAAATGGGGATGGCCTTTTCAATGCTGGCCTTTCTAAAGACATCTGGCCCAGCATACCCACTCTCTTGAGTTGAACTCCTGGGGCAGAAATAGGACTTCTCACAGATGAATTAGTCCCTAGTCCTTTGAGACATTGGGGACAGTCAATACGGATCCATCCACTATGTATTGATGATAGAGACCGCGTGAATATTAGTGAATAATAGTCCGTGGCCGGGGTGCAGAGCAACGACCTTCTACGAGGGGTGTTCCCTTTGCAGCCTTCGCGTGTCGTGGTTGAGGACATCTCCAAGAGTCCAAGAGGAGCAGGGGGCGCAGGGGTCGGGTCCTAAGATGTGTTTTTTTATGCTAGAGTTTGTTAGAGGTGATATGTGCAGCGTCGATGTTGGAAGCGATGTTGGTCTATTTGGGTGACCCAGCCAGTAAGTCATTTTTTGCTGCATATCACCTCCAGGCTGTATCAGGCTGTCCTGAGATGAGACATGATCTTGGGATGCTTTAGACTGTGGCAGAGGTAGTGACCCCTTAATACAGACAAATCCCTTTATATCATAGTCTACATATGCATATATCATATATATATATATCACCTTTATAACGGATTACAGTACTGTACATGTTGTTTTGTTTGGGACTTTCGGGCTTTTGATTGCGAAGCTTCCGCCACGCCACCGCGCAGGTTTCACCACCCCAACCCAGACCTGGTGAGACGTTTGGAGGCGCCCCGGGCCTACGGTTCGGTCGGCTGGTCGCTGGCAGAGCCACTGGAGTTCCACTCATATAGAACTATCAGGTACAGTACCCAGTGCCTGACAGGTTTCTCCAGCTAAGGATTGAATTGAATTTCTTAATCGATGCCCATTTCCGATCGATTCGTTGGTGTGCCGCTTCTTGGGAGGTGGGAGGTGTGCGTTGATGGCTGAAATTGGAACTCTTAAAATCCCTCTTTTTTGGACCAAATTGGGGGTGGCCCAAACTGGCCAAACATAGCGGAGAGCATCTACAAACTTGGCTCAACCTCAAAAATTCCAGTACGTTGTTGTTTCTTTTGGGGGGGGCCCATGGGCACCGCATGCCACCAAGTGCTGTCTACCGGACACTTCCCAGGCCTTGGAGGGCCGGTTCCGCTGGGGGATCCCAGGTGACGAGCGTCCGTGTCACTCGGTCGGTGCGGTGTTGGACATGCACGAAGCTGCACTGTCCAGAGGCAAGCTTTACGGGGGGCTAGATGAACTCCATCCCTCTCGCGGAAAATAGTTGTTAATAGATCTTGGGCCAATCGTTGAACATCTTTTGGCTGAGACATGGGTGTACCCGGTGTACCTGCGGAGAGTCCTGCGGAGAGTCCTTGCACAGGTCTCACTGGCCAACATGCAGAATGCAGACCTTTAAATCAAAGAGGGCCATGAGGGCAATGCGGGCCATCCAAGAGGTTTGAAGTCCGATCTGGAGCACCATGTTCCAGTTTTCCAAGAAGCCGAAGCTGGATCAGACGTTTTCTAACACACCGAATGGCCGAATGGCTGGGGTCAAGTGGGAAACCTGGTTTCTTTGGAACATGGCTGTTGGTGAACTGGATTGGTGGGATGGTGCATCCAATTGCAACTTCAATTCACACAAAGAAGCTCCGTTGTTCCTGAATGAGGAAGGAGACCTCCCTAACTCCTCACAAAGATATATATATATATAATTGTGTTCATTTTCTTATGTTCTTTCCAATTCCTCATTACCTACTGTACTGGTTGCTCCCAAAAACCTTCCATTTGTATACACATCGTATCACATCCATTTATTCATGAACAGATGAATAACTATATAACCCTTTACCAATGTTCATCAAGTTTCACCGTTCTAGCATTGCAGCTGCCCTTATCCCAATTTCCTGTACCACTTCCACTGCCATTTTCTCCAAGAGACGACAGTTCCTCGCTCCGCCCGCCTTTCCTTACTCGCCTTGGCGTCCCATGGCATCCCTCCGGCGCTCAGCCTCGGCGCGCTCCGCCCCGTGGAGTCGGTTGGACCGGGCATCGTTGGCCTCCAGTGGTCTCTTCACCGAGACGTTGACGTCCCAACGGGGCTCCTCGCGCTGGTCCAGCCGCACACGGAGCTCCTCGCTGTCCCCAAAGTCCAAGGGTCATGGAAGGTGAGCAAAGCACTGGGGAGGTGTTGCGTTTTTGTTAGATGTTCAGCCATGCGGCCTCTAAGTGCCTCTTTTTTGTAATTTTCTGACGTTTGCCTCATGGGCAACCTTAAGCCTTAAGCCATGAAAAGCTCATGGTCTTAACACTCCGAAAATATCCTAAACAAGAATTGCAAATTGGGTAAATCCTTTTTCAAACTGGATCAGATCAGAAAGGTCTTTTTGATGGGCCACCAGTGCCTCGATCCCCGATCTCCATGTGCAGGTCGTATTCCCCGCGGCGCTTCGCCTCACGGCATGTGCCCACGGCAGCGGAAGAGTTGGCTCAGAGTCAACACTTGGAGCCCAGCATCATCAAGAGACTCTCAGAGACAAATCAGTTGACCTTGAGAGGTTTCAAGTAAAGTAAACACTTGGAGGGTTTAAGCAAACACTTGACCCAAAGAAACACTTGGACCAAAGAAACCATTCTGAGGTTTTTGACTTAAACACTTGGAGCCAGAGACCCTCAGAGACAAGTCCAAGCGACCGGTGCGGTGGACACGACACCAAGAGGTCGGTGGAAACGATGGTCAAAGCGGGTGTCAGGTGGCTGTGATGGGTGAAATCAGGTGAATCATGTATTACGTTGAATGCATCGGGACTCAGCCTTTGAGTGGTGTGAGCAAGAACCATGGTTAAATGGCGCAGATCTTTAATGGGGGACATATACATATATATATATATATACACACGGGAATACATGGCAATACAATTTGCTCAGGATTCGATGGTTTGATGAAGCATTTGAAGCGCAACACAGAGAAACAGGCCAGTTTTGAGTTGGGGTGGGTTGAGAATGCAGCAGTGTTGAATGCACACACACAGACATTTTGAGGGCCGGCAAGCAAGGCTGAACTCTGAAAGTTGGGTGCAGGTGCTTACAATGCAGGGTTAAGTCCTGTAGTTCAGGGCAGCAGCATCAATAACTACTCCTCCTCCTGCCTCCTGCTGCTGCTGTTGCTGCTGCTGCCGCCATGCTGCTGCTACCAAACAACAACAACAACAACAACAACAACAACAACAACAACAACAACAACAACAACAACACATGAATCTTCATACTTTGTCTCTACCCTCTCCTATGTCCTAGAAACACAAACTGCAGCCCCGCAGTTGCTTTTTGAAGTGGTAGTAGTAGTAGTAGTAGTCGTCGTCGTCTTCTTTGTCGTCGTAGTAATATTACTACTACTACTACTACTATTACTACTACTGCTGCTGCTCCTACTCCTCCTACCAACTACAACGAGTACTACTACTACTACTCCTCCTCCTGCTCCTCCTCCTCCTCCTGCTGCTGCTGCTGCCACAACTATCACTACTTCTACTAGTCTACAAGCTGTAGGGACCTCTACCACATCCTAGGAACAAAAGCTGGAGCCCCGTAGTTGTTAAACGGGTGTTGTTGTCCCTACCCCTTACTGGAAACAAACACTGCAGCACCGTTGTTGTATTTTGCCCTGGAACAACACATGCAACACATAAAGCGAAACGCTAAAAACAGACCAACCAGACTTGAGTGAAACAAGTCCAACAGGCCCAACCAATTTCAAAACCAACATTCCCTCAAATTTTCAAACACATCCCTAACCTTGCCCGCTTGAAGTTCCAGAGTCGCAACATGTGACTACTATATTCTACCACGACGACGACGACGACTACTACTACTGCCACTACCACTACCACTACCACTACTACTACTACTACTCCTACTACGACTCCTACTCCTACTCCTACTCCTACTGCTGCTGCTGCTGCTGCGACTACTACTGCTGCTGCTGCTGCTACTACTACTACCACTGCGACTGCGACTGTGACTGCTACTGCTGCTATTGCTACTGCCACTACTGGTACTACGATGGCTACAACGACCGCTGCTACTACTAACTGACGACTGCTATGACACAATGTGGGTGTGACTATGACCAACACGACTGCTACTGCTACTGCTACTATTACGCAGTGGCGACTATGTATTGTGTGTTGTGATTGAAACAATTCTGCCGCTGAGGGGGGCAAATGTGTATATATGTGGAACCTTTGTTGAAATCCCACGGTCGTGCCCGTCATGTGGCAGGTGACATCCTTCGAATTACATTCACACTCATTCCACTTACCGTCGCCTTCATTCTCGGGCAGTCACCACCAATGCCCCACTTCGATTTTTTTGGGGCAATATAGACATGATTAGTCTAGCCGCCCATATGAAATGTTTTTTGAACTAAATGGGGAGTTTTTCTAATCGACAGTCTTGACATGAATGCATCACCCTCGCTTCGTCGCAAGACCTCGAAGCATGTTTGACCGGTGCCGATAGGACTTCGAGAAGCAGGTGCTGGCCTCGCCACTGGAGGTGTGACAGGGGGAAAGGGTTCCGCCATCCGGAAAGGTTCCGCAACATCCGCAACCACAAAAGATCACAAAAAGATACAAAAAGGCATTCTTCATGGAGGGGTTCTCCGATTCGATGCCCCACGGGGCTCACATGAAATAGATTGAACATTAAACATCATTGATTTTTTTGTTGTTTTCTCGCCAGCTTGTTCGACACCCAGTTTGGACAAACAGTTCAACCTAAACAAAAGCACACCAACTGTTTCAACATGAATGTTTTCCAGCTGGTGCCACCAGCTAAGCAAGACACCCTGCACGGCCTGAAAAAAATTACATGGTTGTTTCCAGTGCTTTGGGTGGTTCCAGGTGGTGCGGGGGCACTTCTTATCTTCCCATCAACAGTATGGCCCATGACAGTTTCAACACCGAGGTGTTGGTGCCTGAGGAGTTTGATGAAGTGCTCCGGGAGACCTTCGCGAGGCATTGCAGCTATGGAGAGCGGCTGAATACGGAGCTGATGCACTCCAGCAAATGGATCAAGATGCTCGGATATGGGACAGACTGGCTAGTTGTCACGTGTTTTCCATCCTCTGGATCATTCACTTTCTATTGTGCAGTACTGTTATGTGATATAAAGGTCAAATCTCGCAACCTTGCCCAGCAAGTCCAAAGGACGGGTTGAACTGGTGCGTTAGCGCCAAGGACGCATTTCACCTCCCAACTTCCACGACCAAATTATCACCCGTTTTTGATGGCCTTTCCCTCCGTTTTCACGGGCTCTTCACCTCCTTTTCATGGCTTTTCAAGCTTCCTCCCGTTTTGCTAAAGCACCGGTTAAACTGGTGATGTTGACCCGGCCGCACCGGCTCAGCCCGGCTCTTCGACCCGGTCGCCCGGCGAAGCCTCAGGATGTTGAAAGAGCTGGATCTCATGCCGGCCGTGGCGACCTCACCGAAGAGTCGCTCGGAGTTGTGACAGAGAGGAGATGTGGATCTCTCGAGATCCCTGGAACAATCCCCAGGATTGCCAGAATAGTCTACACTACTTGTAACCATCAATTTATTGGAATTACTACTGATTTTGAGCCAATGATATGTATTTTGTATGATGCATCTCCAAATTATTCGAACACACTATATTAAATTTGGAGATTCATGATTCTACATCTTATTTTTAACTATAGCAGGATCTTCCATAGCATTCGATAGGCTAGGCGAAGGACCGTCCCATCGATCTCGCTTTCGCCGATGTTAGGGCCTTGCCTTGCCTCTTGGGCGGATGCGGACCTCATTTTTCAGCGCGTGCTTCATGACGTGGACTATGGGGGTAAGCGCTTGACCTACGAGGACTTCTGCAAGGCTCTTTGCTTGGTCGCAGTCACTGGGCCGTGGCAGGTTGGACCATGACGGGCAAGAAGCATGGAGACATATGGAGACCCTCCAAACTGCAGGTTTGTGGAAGGAAGATAGACTTTGACATTGGGATGGTACTAATAATGGAGCCCAACGATCCAAACAGCATCACATAGAAGAAAAGCTTTGGGCAATTAGAAGCAACTGAGTGTGGTAGGTCTCTTTGTGTTTGTGGGGTGAATCACTCAACTGTTTGACAAC